AAACCTGTCCTCTGCTTCAAAAAGTGGCAGCTGCTCTATAAGCATTTACTAGCTGGCAGAGTAACCAGTTGTCACAAGTTCTGTGAGGGATAGTTAAAAGCCTGAACAAGATTGTCTAGCACTTTTCAGTAAATATTTTAAAATCTACAACTTAACTCTTATGCACCTAAATGATAACTAGACCTAGGAGAAAAGGCTGGAGAGGCTCCCTTACACTAAATATGCTTTGGTCCCATAATTGTACTGCTTTTGGAGATAGCTCTTTCTGGTGTCACCCAGAAGTTGGTTCTCTCCACTGTGTCTCAGGTTTAGCCTCCTGAAAGAGACTTGCCCAGAATACTTAGCCAGGACATGGCTTTTATATGTGTCCTGGTTGGGCGTAGTCCTCTTTGTCTCCTCTGACCCAGAGATGGGATATATGTCTTTTTTTTTTTTCTTTCTAAATGATTTCCTTGTCTTTAACAAATGGCCATTTTCTATGGGCTTCACTTAATTGAAACAGTCTCTAATTTTCCATGTCTCTAAAAAGGAAAGTACAAGGGCCAGCCAGAAAGCTCAGCAGATTAAAGTGCCTGCTTAGACAGATGTAGGGGCCAAGAGTTTGATCCCCAGCCTGCCATGTTGGTCCCGCCCCTGGGGGCATGCTGAGAAGGTGATTGAGACTGGGCATGGTGGCACACACCTGTAATTCCAGCACTTGGGAAGCTGAACACAGGTGGATCACTATGAGTCTGATCTGCATCGTGAGACCCTGTAGACCCTACCCTAAATGCATAAAAAAAAAGGAAAGTACAAAGAGGTAGGAAAATTAGGAGAAAAATCAAAGAAAGAAAACTGAAACAGAGCAGGTCTGACACTTGCTCTAGCATATAGAGTGGGATCAGAACCAGTTTGTCCCAGTGAATCCTGTCCTCCAAGTCTTTAAGAACGGTTGCCAACCTAATGTCATTTAGTTGACAAAAGGAGTCCTGTGTTTTATATACAGTCATGTATATTTTCTAAGTCTGAGCTAGATTCAAAAAGTCCCATCTTATAGAAGTTTATATAAAGTCCACTAGGAGGCTTTCTAACATTACTCTGTCTAGAGCTATTGTCTGAAGTCAAGCAAGGAATACCAGCACATTTAGCAAATAGTTCCAATGCAACACATATAAGAACAAAAAGTCATAAAATGTCCCATTAGAGAAATATCATAACCTTATAACATTTCCATGTTTTAACTTAGATTTACCAACATTCTGACCAACATTTTAGCAAAATCATATGAGACAAAGCATAAGCAATTTTAACAGAACTATATAAGACAAAACTGTTTGAGGCAAAGCATGACCAATTATGAGTAATGAACAAAGACATATCAACATTTGAAGCATAAAAAGTTGTTATCTAGGGGGGGAATTACCTGCTCGGCTTCCCCTTCTGTCCCTCTCTTGGACAGGAACTTTCCTTCTCTCAATAAATATATTCTGCTCATAACTTCCGTTTGTTCCTAAAATTCATTCTTCGGTTTTAGAGAACACGAACTTATGCAGGTCAGGTCCAGAGATCGTTTTTCTCTATATCATTTGGAGGTTCCCTATATTGTTTGGAGGTCACTCACCCGAGACCAGTTTTTCTCCCTGTATCATTTTGGAGGTCCCACCGAGATCATTGGACGGAGGTATTAGTTTGTTTTCTTTCATAAATTCTGAATTGGGATTTGCTTTTATGTTTCACTGCATGGTTTTCCTCTATAAAAGTCCCTGCAAGAGACAACTTCCTGGGGGAAGGGAATTACTCGCTCGCCTCCCCCTTCTGTCCCTCTCTTGGACAGGAGCTTTCTTTCTCTCAATAAATATATTCTAGGGGTTGGGGAGATGGCTCAGTGGAATAAGCACTTCCCTGGCAAGCGCAAGGGCCTGAATTCAATCCCCGGTTCCGCCAAACAAAATAAAAAAAAATAAAATAAAAAAGATTTAAACAAATAAATATATTCTGCTCATAAAAAAAAAAAAAAGTTGTTATCTAAATGAATCCCAATCCAGAACCTATGAAGGAAAAGCAAACTCATACCTTGGTCAAATGATCTCAGTGGAACCTCCAAATGATATAGGGGAATGAAACTCCCAACCTGAAAGGTACCTGAGATGAGTTTGTGTTCTCTAAAACTGAAGAATGAATTTTAGGAACAAATGGAGGTTAAGAGCATAATATTTATGGGGAAAGAAAGCATCAATCTGAGAGAAGGACAGAAGGGGGACCCGAGCAGGTTGTCCTGGGAAGTTGTCTCTTCCAGGGACTTTTATAGAGTAAAACCATGTGGTGAGGTGGGTCTAAGGTGGAGAACATGGGAACTTAGGTGGGCATGAGGTGGGACAAAACTATGGTCAACCAATGAGATTAGAAGGACCATTACTCAGGTAAAATTGATAAAATCCAGAACCAAATGGAGAAGCATGTCCTGTAGCAAGCAGGCACAAATATAGAACAGGAGTTTATCCAGTAGTCAGCTGGTAGCAGTTGTATTAGTGACTCTTCCTGACTTCCTCAAGATGATGATCAATCCTGGATGCTAGGGCTGGTGAGATGGCTCAGTGGTCTAAAGCACCTACTTAGAGCATGCTTAGCAAAAAAGCACAGGGACCACGGTTCAATCCCCCAGCACCACATGCCAGTCAGCCCCGCCACCTGGTGGACTGAGCTGGCCACACACACACACATAAATTAAAAAAAAAAAAAATCCTGGATGCTTTTCTTTAGGGAGCTAAGCATTTGTTTGATCTTTGGTCTTTAGGTCTGGCCCACAGCAGGAGCATCTGTCTCTCCCACATTGCTAGGTGTCTTGTCTTCCACGCTGTCTCCTTGAGGGCCTGGCCCTGTCTGACTGCCTATAATGTTTCTGTCTAATTTAGCTGCTTACAACAGAATCCCTGGCTCCCTGCAGAGCCCTACAGAGTTCTCCTGTGTTACTCCCCTTGCATTCTTTTCTCCAAACACCCTGAATGTGGTATGGCTTAGTTGGAGCTTATCCTTGCTTCCTGGAGAGAACAGCCCTGGCCTAGCAGGGACAGAGAAAGGCAGGAGATGGCCGGCTGATCCGAGGTGCGCAGGACAGTGAACTCCAGTTTACCGATCACTCCCACTCCCTGGTGCCTGGCACTGGCAATGGCATCTCACTTCATCCTAATGCACATCTAGAAGGAATTATTATTATTATTATTTAGCATTTATAGGTTTCAAGTAATATCCTTTAATAAACACCAGACCCTGTCCAATATTTTCCTAAGACAATATGGCAATGCTTAAACACTTATGCACAAAGATATTTATTTTGGTGTTTGTAAAACAAGCAAACAACAAAACAGTAAATCTCTAACATCGAAAGACTTGTTGAATAAATTATGGAGTATCTAGATGAGAAGTCATTAAAATAATGTTTTTGACACTCTAATGATGCCACATGATGCAATTTTTTTGCAAATACTCTAGATTCATAAACACTTAACTAGAAAGGTACACCCTACATTGTTCCTAATGTTTATACCCAGGTAGTGGAATAAACAACTTTTTATTTACCTAGCTTTTTTTCCCCCTCTGAATTTTCTGCAGTAAGTTTGTATTATTTTATAATAAATGAGAATGTCCCATTCTTCAGAGAACAAATGCCAAAGGCTGCCCTCGGGTCAGATCAGCTGAACGTTACAAAGAGTGCCCATATTCTGCCCAAAGACAGCTGCCAGAGCACAGAGCGTGCGGTTGGGGCAAGGCAGAGCCACTGTCGGCAAAAACGGAATAATCAGAGCTTTAAAAACTCATTTCTCAAGAACGTTGTGAGGATCAAGTGGGTGGGGAGCAGTGAGACACGCGAACAAGTGCTCCATGTTCTCTCTGGCCTTCTCACCCGGCATTTATCAAATAAAAATACAAAGAAAAGACAAAAGTCAGGCTCGGTTTTTTATTTTATTTTCTTTTCTGTATTTTAGGGAAAGGCCTAAAATAGGCCTTTCAGGGTAGGCCTTTTAGGGTGTTCAGGGTAGGCTTGGTTTAAATGCATAACTATATCTGTTAATCTGAGCCACAGATTTGATGATAAAAATAGTAATATAGCAACTTTTTTTTTTTAAAGACAGGGTCTCACTATGAAGTTCGGGCTGGACTTGTGCTCACTTTTGTAGACCTCGGGCTGGTCTCAAACTCTCAGAGATCCTCCTGGCTCAGTTTCCCAAGTGCTGGGATTACAGG